AGATAACAGAATTTTTATAATTGGGCATGTGGATGAAATTAAATTGTCAGTATTCACCCAGATGGCATCCTTCTTCAGTGGTTCTCATCCTCAGAGCTGGTGCAGGAGCTGGCATATCTGGAGGACACCCTGTGGATTGGCCTTGGCATGAGTCTGGCAGGAGGAGTGAAACTGCAAAATATGCATGAATATGGGTGGGGTCAAAATGGGCTCTGGAGACTGATAGTTTTTGTCAGACCAGATTTCTTGATACAGTAACAGAACTTTCCCCAGGAACCTGCAGGTATCTGTAAGACAACTGGAACAGATCTACATCTTGGTGTTATAGCAAAATCTATGGCTTTGGTTTAAAAGGCGTGAATATTTCCTGGCTTCAGCCCAATGAAACATGTCTTTAAATCTATAACTGTAGGAAATCTACTGAATGGAAGTAATTGAGTAGTGAAGGAGAGGAGAGGCTTCCCTAAAGATCTGAGGAGGATATGTAGGTGAATAGAAGTGAGACAGCTTTCCTATCTTCATATAAACAAACCTTAAAGCTGTTTTTTTTTAAATCTAATTACCCAGGAGCTACTGAGAGCAGTCAATAGTAAAAAGTTACATTGAAATCTCTTCTATGCAACCAAACCAAACTAGTGGGAACTCATGAAACTCAGATCAGCAACTGTGGAGCCTGTATGGGACTGGACTAGGCCCTTTACATATCAAGACAGTTATGTGGCTTGATCTGCTTGGGAGACCTCTGGCAGTGGGATCACAGTCCAAACCTGGTGCATAAGCAGGCTTTTTGGAGCCCACTACCTATGATGGAACACCTCTCACAGCCTTGAGGCAGTGGGAGAGGTTTGGACCTGCCTCCACTAAATGTACCTCCCCATGGGAGGCATTACCTTCTTGTAGGAGGGAATGGGGGGATGGATTGGGAAGAGGAGGGTGGACAGTTGGAGGAGGGAAGAAGGGGATCTTTGATTGGTATGTAAAATGAACAAAAAATTTTGCTTAATTAAAAAAAAGAAAAAAATCTGTTTTATGAGTTTATCTGATCTGGTAACAAGGTAAATTGTGTCTAGACCTAGTAGTAGCCCTAGGAGAGGGAGACCTGTGAATTTTATACAGAGAAATGAGAAGGTAGCTGAAGCAAAGCCTGGACGTCAAATGGACTCAGAGATCTGAGAAGGATAAATTGTATCTGAGTGCAGACCAAGCAGCTTTTAAATCTATTAAAAATGACAGGGACCCGTCCATACCCAGTTAGCCATAGCCAGAACTAAACATTGTTAGAGGCAGAAGTATCAGAACAGTATCAGTCTTCAGCCTCCAGGCCCATAAGGTGGGAGTTTTTCCAATGGAAGAGGGACATAGAGAAGACTGATCATACTTTGTTTAGGCAAAAGAGGTGCAATCAATTCTCTGATGTCCTGCTGTTTGTCCACAGTCTGGGCCAGGTCGTGGTGGCAGGTCTTGCATTGGGGCATTGTGCCCAGAGGTCTGCATTGCCATAATCCAGGTGGAGATATTGTGGTGCCTCGTAATCTTCTTTGGGGACCTTGTGTCATTGCTAGGATCTGGGAGTCTTTTATATCAACATTTTAAATGTCATATTCTGCAGATCTCTGAGCATTGAAGGGCTGTCTGTTTGTTAGGCAAAAATGACTGATTATCAACTACTATTCCCTAAGTCTCCAAGGCTGGGTCTTACTGTTCCTGAGAAGGCAAAGAAGAATGATAGGGGAAAGATCTTAGGGCCGAATGGGAACAGAAGAAAAGGGGCTTGTGAGCCAGGTGCAGCTCAAATCCAAGATAAGGACCCTCTTGGGGGACTAGAAACTCCATCACAGAATATATATCTTGTTTATTAGATACCCCACTTGTCAAACCTATGACATCATTTATTTAAATTTTCTAGAAAAAATAGGTTTAAATCTCTAAGTTACCTTTTGTTAATCTGAATAACTCTTTATAAATTTAAATTTATATTATAATATGGAGTATAGTATAAACCAGTGTTGAATCAAATATAGTTTTACATATCTATCATCATAAAAAAAGTCAATATCAATCCAAATCTTTGAGGTTTGTTGCTTCCTTACTCTAGAAGGAGACTAAATGAACAGACAGGTCATTAAGGCTAAATGTGTTTTTGATCTTAATAAACCTTAGTAAAAAATGGTTGCCAGCCACATGGCTGTCTGCATCATGGTGAGGTCACCAGCCAAGATGGAGGACAGCCATGTGGTTGCTGTGCAAAACATTTTTTTCCTAAATAGGTAAATCTAAGTCAAAAGGAAGGGAGAAGGAAGAAAGTGGAGAATTTTTTTCTCAGTTCCCTGACTGTCTGGCCCAAGAAATACTGAGGCCAGTCTCACATTCAGGGGGATGGGCACAGGCGGGTAGCTCCATCAGAGACCTGAGTGGTGGTATTGAATGGAAGGCAAAGCCGCTGGTGAATGAGAAAGCAGACTTGTTACAGGCAGGAGGGAGAAGATCTGCCGTGGGTGGAGGCAAGTAAGTGGGTACCTTTGGCAGGCCCTGCCAAGGTATGCCACCAAGCAAACAAACACGCCACATGCTGCGGAATTAGTGGAAGAGGTTTGAGGAAGGAGGAAAGCAAGAGTGAAGGACTGTGTCAGAGTGAGGGCTTGGGAGGGGCAGGCCCTGATCGCTCACCTTAGCCATAAATGTACAGCACGGTTCCCATGGATGAGAGGGGGGAAAGGAGGCACTACATACAGCCTGTAGCCTTGGGCATCCCCAGAGGTAGACGAAGGAGAGAACCAGGACCATGCTGTCAAAGTGGGCCATCACCACACTCAATGGGGGTCAGGCTTAGCCTGACAAAGCCAGAGGAGTCTCAGCACTAATACTGGGATTTTCAAGGAGACCAGCAAGAACAAAATCTGAGCTCCGTGGAAATCTCATACATAGGGAAAGGTGAGGGATTGTGTTACAAAAGCCAGAAGGGCCTAAAAGAGTGGTGGGCAGGTCCAAAGGGGGTGTGACAATCCAACTGAAACTTACAATATTGCCTCTGGTGGATGGGATGGTGAGTGATTAGGTGAGATGGAGCCTGTTGTGGGTAGACTGGGTGTAGGATCCTGGCATGTGAGGGGCTGCCAGGAGGGCCTATCTGAATCTCAAAGCACCAATGCTAATATTGTGAAATGGCACTCGAGAGACCTTAGCAGGTTTTCGCCAAAGTGCCCCTCACGGGTGTGTGGGACATGCCATGCGAGTGTGGCAGACAATGGCATGGCACGGTGGAAAGTTACTCACACTGCAGAGGAGTCATCCTCATGGGAAGTTTTATTATTAAAGGGAGAGAGGACAGAGGGAGACAGAATGAGGGACAGAAAGAGAGTGAGAGAGGGGGAGAGTGAGAAAGAGGGGGGTGTGCAGTACCTCTGTCTAGAGAAGAGAGAGAGGGAGAGGGTTTTCTTTCCTCCTAACTGGGCTTTAAGGTAAGATGGCATCAGGACGTGGTGTGGGTCACCAAGGGGCAGGTCAGACTACTAACACTCAGGGCCTTGACTGACTGTTGGATACATTGGATTTGTTGGGACATGGCTGTTTTCAATACATCGGACCCATTCTTATCTCTCCATTGTCCTCATGGAGGGGTACCTTAGTGTGCACTGGGAAAGAGAATCCTGAGTGTGAGTCTCCAGGCTGTAATGCCCTGCAACCACATGTCCACCTGCTCAATGGGTGCTCTTAGGAGCCTAGAGTCTCAAGCATGTCTCAAATTGAATGAACAATTTGTTCCTCTCTGTACAGGCCTCCAGCAGTATGTCCAGGCTCACAAATTCACCATGGACACCCAGTACACCATTCCAAATTCACCATGGCCTCCTCTGGTCCTCTATCTAGCCACTAAGCCAACGAATCCTTGAGGTGAATCATCTACTCTCCTCTGCAGATGAGGCATGATGTTCCCGAAGAGTCCCCTCAGTGACAATCCCCACACCTGTCTAGAGTAGTTCTATGTCTTATAGCCACACAGAGCTACGAGGTTCCCAAGACTGGAACAGTGCTTCGCCATTTCAAAGTTCTCTGTACTTCTGAGTCATTTGAGAATCCTGAAAGAGCCAGGCTCATGGCAATCCATGGCTGTTTTGTCTTTTTCCTAAACCTAAAATGCTTCTTAGAAATGCCTCCGTCGCTGTGTGCCCTGCACAGAGCATTCTTTCCGTTCATCTGACCACATTCTCATCCTCCTCTGACCTCAGCACAGAGGTCACATGACCCACGGACTCGTTTGGGAGCTCTCTCTGTGAAGCACCCAGAGCCTTGCTTTATGATCCACCGGCACACCACCATGGTGATGTCTGTGCACAGAACCCCTGCTTGATGAAAACTGTTCCTCTGGCATCAGGACACTGGGAAGAACATCCCACCAGTCATAATGTCTAGCTGTAGAGTCATGGGAAATGATTAACCTTCTCTGAGCCTCATTTTCTCCTCCTTAAAAAGGACTGAAAATAACACATAGGTCACAGATCCATCACAGGAGTCACAGAGTATGAGTGACAATCTCTACTATCCTGTGGTCACTAGAGGCCACACCCCCAACCACAGGAGCTCAGTGAACACTGCCTGGACACATTCTGTACAGTTGTAGGTTTATTGATCCTTTGCTCAAAGCCCTGCATTTGGGTGAGGAAGGTGGAGGTGTCCATCTCTTGTGTGATATTGGTCAGCTGGGAACCAAGAAAAAGACTCCTCTGCCCAAAGTAGGTGTACTAGGTGAAGGAAGCTGGTCTGGAAAACCAGCTCCATGCAGCTGCAAGAATGAGGGATCCAACATTGTGTTATATGTAGGGAGGGTAAGGAGCCCCTGCCAACAATCTCCTCTGTGTGTTTGAGACATACAATTAGTCACAGTCACTGTCAATACAGGCATGCCACAGCCAATCAGAATATGGAAGCCAAAATGCACATAGAGAGCCATATATAGACTTAATCCCTGGCTGCTGGAAAGAAGCTTCACCACTTGGGAAGTTCTACTTTTCATTGGGATTTGAGACTTTGGCCATAAAGAGTGGAGTCTGTGTATTCCTGTCAAAGATAATCATCAGAAATGCCCTGTTTAAATTCACTTCCAGAGGGTTCAAAATTAGAGCCGATCCAAGAGGAATGAGTCCCGTGGCAGCCGCTGCTTCTGTGCCTGTCTCAGCCACGTCCAGCACAGCCTTGTGGACCACCTGTAAGAGAAAAACATCACTCACTGGAGACCAGGGAGGGCAGCAGATGAGATTCCTGGAGCAAGCATCCACTGCTAGCCTCAGCTGCTGGTGAAGTGTTTTGTTCCTACAGTGAGCTCTACTCCTGGTGTTTCCAAGTCTCTGCTCAGGGTGTGAGATGAGGCATACCCTGGGTCTGCCCAGTCTCTGAGAATCTGTGTTACTCTCAAACCCACTACAAACTGGAGGATGAGTATAGGCAATGCCAGTCTTTACTCAACGGCATTTTCTCAGGAGACCCACAGGGAACAGCCAGGGTGCTGGCAGCCAGTATGGGCTTCCATATCCCTCTGTTCCAGCTTCCCTGGGACATACAACCACAATGCACAACGCATGGCTTCTCTTGCGTAGACTGCCATGACCTGCTGGTACATATCTGAGCCCAGGCTTCTCAGTAGGCACTGGACAGACCACTAGGCATTGCCAGGCTATGCATCTAGGAAGGTAGTGTGAAGTCCTGAGACATAATCACCCGCATTCTTAAGCTTTTCATCCCAACTGCCATTTATCCCTTGTTTTTTCCTTTACTGCTACTAATCTGTGTGCTGGTGGATAAGTACTGGCCAGTCTGCAGTGAAGAAGGTGAGACTGGAATTGCTTTGTCTTGCAGTAGATTATAGGTGGCACTCACACTGCAGCACAGGGTCATGCCAATGGTGGTCTAACACCAAGCACAGGCTTTTCCTCCACCATGGGTTCCTGGGTGTGAGGTAGAGGAGTGATTGGTTTCAGCAGGAATATCTAGATTGTAATCCTCTCTCCCAGAATGAGGGAATCTCAGAAATGCAGGCTTTCTCACACATTTACCATTCTCCCTTGCCACCTGGCCTTCACCAGCTACATTCAGGTGCCAATAAGAACCACGCAGTGTGTGTTGGCTTACCTTAGAGACTGTCAGGTCCTTGGCCCCTGTGATCCCAGACAGGTCAGCCTGTGTGGAGAAGACTTCCCTGATACCCAGCTGTTGAAGGATGTTCTCTATGCTGTAGTCACTGGAGATGGAGAACTTGGGCATGTAGAGCTCGTCAATCATCCTGAGAATGAAAAAAGAAATGTAAGAGTCATTGGAATCTGTGAACCCCTCAAACCCAATTGTAGCTAGGGCAGCTCTCCACAGACAGACCTCTTACCAGAGAGAAGCCCTCTTTCTATCTGGCCCTACATCACATGATTTTGCTTTTCCTATTGCATCAATTACCCATCAATGCCTGAGAGTGTTTACAAGGGCAGGCAATGAAGCTTGGTACCAGCTCTTCCCTTATCCAAAATGCTTTTCTCCCAGATCCAGAAAATGTAGTCCCTCCCTGTCATGTGGACCCTCAAACTTCATCTACTGATCCTTCTATTTAAAATTGCACACTCCATCTGACTTCAGCTTTCCTTATCCTTGAATACTCCCCATTTAAATCTCACCCCTCCTCATGTTTAGCTAATCAAATAATGATTAGTTGCATTTCCCACATTCTCTCTTCCTCAATTACAAGATGTGTTCTTAAGGGTAAAAAAAATTTGTGCTTTAATCTCTGATATACTCTCAGGTTCTAAATCAGAACACGGCACACAGTAGGTCTTCAAGTCATCATTCCATGAATGGTGAATGAATGAGGGGATGAGATGGCTACACAGGGCAGAGCTGATTCTCAGAGCTGATCTCATCTCAACCTCACTTCACTCTGCCTTCCAGAACCCATTCAAGATTCCCTGTAAATACAGCCTGTTAGACACAGAGGAATCCTCAGCTCCTGCTCTAGCTGATGTCATCTTGTGAACAACAAAACGACAATAAAATCAGGCCCCAAACTACCGAGTCAGTGGAGGGAAAGTCACCTCCACTCCACCTGTCCCTGCTGACTCTCCAACCATTCCACTGGGTACTAGTGAGACTCTGAGGGACAGGGACACTGGGCCTCAGGCCAACAGCAGGATGGGGAGCCAGTTCAGCTCTGGTTCCTGTGCACACACACCTGGACCTCAGAGAGTCCTTCCACTTCTTCAGGGTCTCTGGTTGCAAACTGGCTTCCACTTGCTGCATCCTGCCCATGTCAGGGAGGATGAACAGGGCGCTGGCATTGCCTCTGTACTTTATCTCCACCACAGAGCAGTTCAGATCCTCATCCCGGAAGTAGGGTGTGGTTAGAAATTTATCTTTCATCATGGGCACCTTCACAGTCCTCTTCTCATCCAAGTAGAAGTCAGACTCATGTGTGAAATGAGGCTCAAATGGCCTCTCCCATTTCCCTAAATGTGGAGCAGGTCATCAGATTGTGCCTTCAGCAGAGAGACCCCACCTCCACCCCATTTCTGCCCAGATTATCACTCTTGACAGGAATCAATCCATCTTCAACAACAGAGTGTCCCTTATTAGTTGCATAATCCAGATTAGAAAAAACCTTGGCAAGTGTAGAAGTATGAATGAGAACTGATCCACAGGCATAGTTTGAAGAGGGGAACTCAAAACCAAAGCTTCCCTACATGAGATATCAGAAAAAGAGCCAGGAATCTGAGATTGGGATGTGTAACAGAGAGATCAGATTGAAAGTGGGGAGACTGTAGCCTGGGGAGTTGAGGATCCCTTCTTCCTCAACTCCCCTGTCTTGTGGGACAGGTTTTAGGGGAAACAGGACAAGAGAGACTGTGTTCTCCCACACTGTGATCTGTCCATGGTGCCCATCAGTGTGAACCACCTTAATGGAAGTCAGTGCCCAGAGACATGAGTGGATTTAGATTGAAGCTCATGAGATCTGCAACTTCCCAAAGTTGGATTACCAGGATCTCATAGTTGGTTGGCTGAGACATGAATAATGATTCCTCTTCTCTCATATCATCCATTTCACCTTCATGAATCAAAGATGTCCTATTCAGACTTACCTGACATCCAAAGTGCCTGTGGCTATCTGTAATACACCCTGCAGGGCTTGGTACATTCACAATTTCTTTGTCTCAGGATCAAGCAGAATAAACACACATCCCTACCTTACAGTCAATTAGCCATGGAGTTTAGGTCCTGGGCCCTAGAGTTTAATCCTTCAGGCCATCCATCACTCTGCTTCCCCTCCCTTCAGAGCACAGCCTCTCCTGGGTCATCATGTACTCCTGTCCTCTGTCCTCCTATCCTCTTCTGTTCATAGCCAGTTGGTTTTCTGTCTATACTATCAGAGCCTACCCTCCTCTGTTCTATCCTATACAGAGTTCAGAGTCCCAGATCGATCCCAGATCTAGCCACATCAGGTTTTATCAGAAATCGTTCTGTGGGCCATTGCCTCACTCCTTGGTCTATCAGGCAGTGTTTTGTGGATGTGGGCTCTGGATGTGTTCCCACTAACAACTACCCACAGCAATTCCAGCCCAGTCTCCCAACTCTCTTGCCCCCCAAACCTAGATCCCCTGTCCCAGGAGTGTGTCTTCAGCACTGTGACCCTGAAGGCTGCCTTGGCTACTAATTTTACAAACTAAAATTCCACAAAGCAGCCAGACACTAAACACTGAACACTGCATGGCTGATCTTTCTTCTCACTAATGGCTTTGCCCCAGTCCCTGCTTTTCCATGCCCAGGTCCAGCTTGATGCAGAAAGGATCAGGGGACAGGTCCTGCATAGGAATTCATGAAGGGCTCTTCACTAGCTGTGGCACCTGCTATTCCCCCTTTAGATTGGGTAGCCAGGCTCCTTAGGTCAAGAAGTCCATGACCAGCTGGGGCCTCCTGGACATGGAGGTTCTCTAGCAGATGAATTCTGTAGGAGAATATTAGAAATGTTGGAGTGGGCTGGATGAGGGACTCCTTTGTGGTAGTTTGAATGCAATTGGCCCCCATAATCTCATCGAGAGTGTCATTATCAGGAGGTGTGGCTTTGTTAGAGTAGGTGTGGTCTTATTGGAGGAAGTGTATCATTGTTGAAGCAGGCTATGATGTCTCGTAAATGCTCAAGATACTTCCCAGAGTCACAGACCACTTCCCATTGCTTACCAGATGTAGGACTCTCAGACACTGCTGTAGAGCCATGTTACCTGCAAACTGCCATGTCCCACCATGTTAATAATGGACTGAAACTCTGAACTGCAAGTGAGCCACCCCAATTAAATATTTTCCTTTATAAGAGTTGCAGTGGTCATGGTGCCTCTTCACAGCAATAGAACACCTACCTAGACACAGTCTCTGAAGGGAGAAGACAGGGCTTCTACACACTCAGGTAGGACTTGATGTGTGAGCTATGCATTCTGCCAGTCAGTAAGTTTAAGTCACAGGAAATTCAGCCTTTAGACTGAGAGCCAAGGGATTCTGTGGAGTATATCCTAGGAACCTCAAGTATATCCAAAAAATCCCAAGGGAGAAGTAAGGCCTGCTGGTAATAAGAGGTTAGGCACCCATGTCTCCAAGGCCATGAGCACCTCCTTTCCAGGGGTCAGTGTATGGACACAAGGTGACCATCCAGCACCCTCTGCATCCATGCCTGAAACATCGACCATCTTTACCTTTAAAGTAGATGTAATTCACCAGCACCATTAATGTTTTCTCATCCAGGTCTGAGATCAATTCCTTGATCTTCCCCTGGGTCTGTTTCCTCACATAGTCATTGATGAGCTTTTTGGCCTCATGAGGCTGCTGGAAGTCAGTCACAGAGGCCTCAGCCTGGTACAGCGCGCTTGCCTTCTCCTTGAACTCTGCCAGGATCTGCAGGCGCTTTTCAACAAACATCATGCTGCCTATGCTGATCTTCACCTGGTCATCTGGCTGACTGAGCATTTGGAGGAGTTGCCCAAAGCCCCGGTGGATATCTGCCTCAGGGGTCTCTGTCAGATTGAACTTGAGACCTTCTAGAATCTCTTCCAGGGTATTGCTGCTGGCTCCCAAGGACAAGAAGGCCAAGGCAGCTGAGATGCTGAGTGGGGAGAAGACAACATTTTTATCTGGATTCTTCAAAGCCAACTCTTTGTAGAAGCTGAAAGCAAAGTCAGTGTTGATGGAGGCCAGTGTCAGACTGTCCATTTGTGTCCCATTGTTTTGGTCTTCCTGGACCTCAGTGTTTCTTCCCAATGTACCATCTGATTGACAGTGAACAGCAGGGCAGAACCCAGCCATCAAGAGCCCAAGAGCTACAAGGAGGGCCATCTTCTCTGCTCTCCTGCCTGAAAAGAAAGATCTTTTGAGTCTGGGAGGGTCAGGTGATAATCTGATCATCTCCTTGTGCTTCAGCCTTGCCTGTATTTTGTCCTTGTTCTGCTGCCCCTTTCTGCCTCTGTGATGATGCACAGGAAGTGCTCTGGCCCCTCAGATGGCACAACTAGATCCCATGCACCCTGTTTTCACTGGAGGAAGTAATGCTGTAGTAGCCAGTTTTCCTAATAGAGAATCAGGATCCATAGAGGTGAAAAGACATTCCAGGGTCACAAAGTAAGTAAGAGACAGATCTGGGGATGGGCAAGAGCCTTCTGCAATCTTAATTTCTTTTTTCCTTTCTATCTTGGCATAAGGACGCTTTAAAAATCAGGGAATACTCTTAATTTGCACTTGTGCCCCATCTGCCATCACCAAATTCTAGCCAAGACTCAGTGAAGGAACCTTGAATTAGATCAGCAGCAAATGGCCCATTCCGACCTCCAGATGACAAGTTCATGACATCTCACTGCCTTGGGATGCATCTGGTTCCTGTTTCTGTACATGAGATGGGCTAATTGAAAGAGAAAGTTTCTTTCAGCTCTGCCAGGATACACAGGGTTTTTCTATCTCAGGCTTGGAAGGCTTCTTAACAGGAAGAAAATTGAATGGTGTCCCAGTCTCTCACGCCAGGATCAGATTTCATTTTGGTTGTCAGAATGGCTGAGTGGTGGTAGAAAGCAAATGGGTGGCCCTCTCAGGGCAGCCCGGTGAGTGGCATAGGTTGTGTTATTAGTGAATGTGTCTGGCTTATTATGGGAATGTGTGGGTGTTTGTAGGCAATGTTCAGAGAACCATCTCCTCCATACACCCCTGGAGTGGGGATCACAAGCATGCTAAAGACCGCATTTGAAAGCTTGTGGTCATGGTAAACATGGAAGCCAAACTTTAGCCTCTGTCCACTGAATAGGTGAGTTTAGAAGTGAATGTAGGGCTGGAGAGATGGCTCAGAGGTTAAGAGCACCGACTGCTCTTCCAGAGGTCCTGAGTTCAATTCCCAGCAACCACATGGTGGCTCACAACCATCTGTAATGAGATCTGGCGCCCTCTTCTGTATACATAATAAATAAATAAATCTTTAAAAAAAGAAGTGAATGTAGATGCTAGAGGGAAGGGATGAGGGGGAAGATGGATAGAGAGGAGAGAGGATAAGGTGAGAAAGGATGAGGAGTGAGAAAGTGGAGGGAAGTGGGGGCAGGAGGACAGGAGGAGGGAGGCGATCAGATGAGGGAGTCAAGGAGAAGACAGAGGGGAGAGAAGACTAGAAGAGTGTAGGAGGAGAATGGAGGGAGTAGGGGAGGGAGATGTTGAAGCTGAGCCACATCTCCCCAGGCCTGTGACATGCCTGCAGAGTGCCACAGATTTCAGCTGCCTTTACCCTGTGTTTACTGTCAGACTGGTGTATCTATTTCTTTGTAAAGCATTCAGCTATATTCTACTGCAAAATTATTTCCACAGAAAACATGCTAGTCTGTTTGTCCAGGGGAAGTTTGGCTGAGTGGTTGTCTTTTTTCCTGGCTATGAGAGGGTGGAGCCATGGGATCTGTTGGGGAAGTAGGATCCCTGACCCCAAGTCTTCTGCCCCAGAGGGACTCTGCAACAACTGTCCTGTCTCCCCTTAGGTATGACAGCAGCACCCAGAGTAGACAAGATCTCAATACTTCCTCCTTGTGCAGGGTCAGAAGGAGCAGGCTCCATTTACTCTCCAGGAGCATAGCCCAAGGCACCCACATCTGCCACAGATATGAAGACCCTGACTGGAAACAAGGTTCATTTGCACCCCAGAAATGTACTCTGACTCCAACCCAGTACCACAGGAACAATTCCTCACCAACCCCCAAACCAAGAACCCAGGTAATTGCCAATTTGCCACAGTCCTGGAAAGGCTCCCTTCCACTGTCCCCAGAGAGAAGGAATCCTGAGCATTACCTGGAAAGCTGAAGCCAGCAGCCAGCATCTGTGTTAGGTGAGTCCTAATGTTTGGGGTTGCTGTTCCCCTTGGGTGCTGCTCTCCCACTACACACTGATGCCTATTTATCCACACCGGCACCATCCCCCACCTCTTAGGAAATGCTGGCATGTACAAGGTGTGCTCTGTAATCAGACTAGAAGTGGGCAGACAGGATGATTTCCGGTAACATGAATTTCGAACATCTATCTAGCAGAAACACCTCCCACTGTGTTCCAATCAATAAGGTGACTGCCACGAGAATTCAAGGTTGCAGCTTCTGTTTCTCCAATGGTTCAAAGTTCAGTATGGAACTGGGGAGTTGTCGGAGGCAAAGAGACAAACCTGTCTGCATCAATGTAACCGTCCTGTCAGGCAGCAATGAGCATATTCTAAATAGAGACTCACTCTCCCCTCTTGGGCTCTCAGACTTCTGGAGGGAATCTGCCTTTCCTGGCAGTGAAGGAAAACTCCTAGAGGAATCTGTGTCTGGAGAGCCTGGCTGGCTGATCTGAATTTCAGTACTGTAGAGAGATAAAAGCATTGCAAGGCCAGAGACTAATGACCTCCTCATGGGCTAAGTGCTGCTCTCCAGAACAGCCATGTTTCCTCCCTGTGTCAGAAGTCAACCTTGTGACAATAGAGTCTATTCACTTAGCAGACAACCAGCTTCAATCCAAAAGCTAAGAATGCCAGCAGATACATCTTAAGAATGTAGAGAAGCTTCCTTATCCTGATGTACCCTGCCTCTAATGTTCCCACCCCAGCAATTTAAACTTGCCTTGATTTGTGACTTTCTTTGTTTTGTTAAGCTATCAAGTTTTCATGAAACTTCGTCCCACTGGAACACAGAATTTGACTAATGTAAATCTGGGTTCTCAGATCATTGTCAGTCAAAATGCCTCCAGAATAAAGTATTTCTTCGTCTCTTTAGGAAGAGCTGTGGTTTTTGAGTCAACCGTAGTGTTAGAGACTCAGCACACAGGTGTTAGGTCCAAAGCCACTTTCTCCAAAATGGAGGTGTTGATGATCTTAACAAGAAGGGTTTGGTTGAGTAAACAGAAGCCTAAATGTAGATCTCTGTGTACCAGAGAAGCAGATCACCTATGGCAAATTCATGCTCAGCAGGAGCCATCCTAACCTTCCCATAAACATCTGCTACCTCAGCAAGGGCATCTAGTTGCCCTTCAATCCAGACAGGCTGAATTAGCTCAAAGTCTTGATAATGTGATTCCCAATAAATCTTTCTTTCTACCCCCAAGTTGTCTAGTTTGATGATCTTTATTGCTTCCTGGCTTACATTTAGTGCTGAAACCAGGTAGAAAACACTGAGCACCTTTCAAAGGGCTCTATCCTCCCTAACTGAACTGAAGTATTGATTTTATTTAACCCTCAGTGAGGATCTCTTGCTTCTGCTGGCTCTTCATCCCCCATCATTTTCTACTCCAAATTTTAGAGTCTGCCTTCCCAGCTATTTCTCTCTTCTACTCTGCGGGCTGTGTTTCTGCCAACTTGACACAAACTGTCATCATCTGAGAGGAGGGAATCTCAATTGAGAAAATATCTCCAAGAGTTGGGACCTGTGGCCCAGCCTGTAGAGCATTTCTTAATTGGTGGTCAATGGGGAGGTCCCAGCCCATTGTCAGTGGCTCCACCCCAGGCTGGTTGTTCTGGGTTCTGTAAGAAAGCAGGCTGAGCAAGTCATGGGGAGCAAGCCAGTAAGCAGCACCCCTCCATGGCCTCTGCATCAGCTCCTGCCTCCAGGTTCCTGCCCTGTTTGATTTCCTGTCCTGACCTTCTTCAATGATGAACAGTGATATGGAAGTGTAATCCAAATAAACCCTTTCCTCCCCAACTCTGTTTTTGGTCATGATGTTCCATCACAGCAATAGAAACCTTATCTAATATATCCACCTTCTCTCCCAATTGTCTGTCCACTATTATTTGTTTAAGAGTCATTTTGTAGCTGCTTCATCTGTGTGTGTGTGTGTGTGTGTCTCTTTGATTGCATCACTTCAGTCTGATGTTTCTTTGTCTGTTTCTACTACCTGAACATGTTCAACAGAAGTCCTGCTGGTGTATCAGGCAGCTCCCCTATATACCCCTGGGCACCCCATCCTCTAGAAAGGGATATCTGTCCACTGTGATGCAGAGCATCTTTCGGAGGAGTCTTTTTCTCAATGGGGACACCCTCAGACTGAGACTCTGTCCCTGCATCACTCACTGCATCCCTCCCTGTGCCTTTGTTCCTATGCTATTGGAATCCTCCTCCTGGTGGGATTCCTCTGCCCTCTTCTCTAAGTCTCTCCCACTTCCTCCTCACTCTAAAGATCTCTACTGTCATCTTTCCAAGGTTTTCTTTCTTCTCCCTTGCTCTCTGTCACTCACTCACTTGCCAGTCATGGGCCTTTCCCATTCCAAACTGGACTCTTCAACTCAGCTTGCCTGTCTAAGTCTCTTTCCCATCACAGACTTAAAAATCTCATTAAGCCCCACCACCTTATTTTTTACTGTAATACAGCTTCACTGCAATATAAGCTTGACAAACATTCTCAGTGTTCAGTGAATGGCGTATTTGACAGAGATCAGACTCTCACTGATCTCAACAAATTCTGCCAATGTAAAGGGCAAGTTGTCTGAGACCCCTGTGTTCAGACTTTCTTTAGCCTCAACTCTTGTCCCTCCCTCTGTGCCTTTTGCCTACTTGCCAGATTTTCCTGGCAAATGCCAAACCTCCTCCTAACACTGATCAGAACCCTGAGTCTCAGATCCCTCTCCTTTCAACTTTGGTAGAGATGATGTGGCCCCTCAGGGACACCTACTTAACCTAACCCTAGATAGGTGTCACTCTAATCTTGCCCATCAGCACCCTCTCACTTGCTCCACCTTCTTATCCATGCTCTACCTCACCCTCTCTTCCCTCATCACCTCTGATGTAAGATTGTTCACTGGTTCATGGGCTGTTCCCAATAGATTGGCTGAATGATCAGGGTCTTGAAAGGGCATA